GAAAAAAGCAAATAGATATTCAGAAGAGTTTCTTGAATCTGTAATTAGGAGATTTAAGCATTTTTCCATAAACCTTGATCTGTTTAGTATTTTTTAAAATCTACTTAAATAAAAGCATAAGAAATATAAAAAAATACGAAAATATATGGTATTACTGCAAGCTCTAACTGTGTGGTTACATTCAAATTCTTACTTAGATGTTTCTTCACCCTATTTTTGGAGAAAATAAATGCAAAATGAATAAAATATTTATGAAATTTTGCATACAAACACCTCACTTTGGAGGAAACAAAATTTATGTGAACTTTATAGTTCTGGCCCTCACTAGTTTTATAAGACTTTTTTTTTTTAATAGCACTCTACAGGTTTATTTTTCAACTGGGGATTTTGGTGAAGACTTCCAGTAGATAATTTAATACCCTTGTATTTCCATGAACAGTAACTGAAGTCTACAGTTGTATCAGACATTTCGAATTGGAATTAAGATGTGTTATATTTTGCTGAAATACTTAATTCTTTGGGGTGTATTTCAGAGGTAATTTGCAGCGGATTGTGTGCATTTTTGCTCACTAAGTACTGCTGTTTCTTTGGACTTCACTTTTGAATTGTTTCCAAGCTTACTAAACTTCATCACTTGCAATATACTCTTGCTAGGAGTTAGACTGATCCATCGCTGAACGTTTGTTGAATTATTTGTTATTCTGAATAGAAACCACAGTAAGAGGGGTTGACAACGCCACTTATTTGATGAAGCACAGGCCACAGAACAGTAGTTTTCCATCTGTTTGGTTTGGGGTTTTGTTTTGTTTTGTGTAGTTTTTTTAGCAAACATACTGTCAGGTGAACATTATGCCATCACTGTGTTTTTCAGGGAGCAGTTCCATCAACTGAGCCACTTGCCTACACTCCGTATGTCTCACAACCTTGGCTAGAGTCTCTTATAGCAATTGATTATGTTTAAATAACGCCTTGCCTCCGTAGCTGCTGAGCTGATGTGCTAAGTTTAAAAAAAAAAATAAAATACAAAAATCCCATCTTGCCATCTTCTAGCAAGGGTCTGAGAAAACTAGATTTTTTTTCTAACTGAGGATGTAGGAAAATTAAATTTAGAAGCAGAGGACATTTGTCCAATTTTGTCTCATCCCTGAGTTACTGAAGCTAGGAAATCTGTGCTGTGTTTGGCATTATTAATAATTAATATGTTATTCTTCAGTTACATCAAGCAATGAGAATACGATAATAATTTATCCAGAATAATACTAAATAAATATGACTTGCATGTATTTTTGAAGTAGTTGAAAAAAACTTCTAAACCACCTAATATTAAAAACCACTTAATATTAACAAAACAGGGAAGGGAGTGTGGTTAATTTTTCCTTGCTGTTTTGAGAACTGGTGGCAAGATCCAAATTAGCATTTTCCCTTGTAAGTGGGATTTGGGCACAACTCAGGTGTGTAAGACCACAACTGCAATTGATCCTCCTCCTTTCCCCATGTTTCCCCTTTTGAGATGCTTGGTTAGGTGCTTCAAGTGGTGCAAGTTTCGTATCTCAGATATGATGCTTTCTTTGCTGAGTTTAGAGTACAGTGTGTATTTCTAAAGTACCTAGTGTTTTGAACACCTGCCCAGAAAGTTGGGAGACTTAAATCTAATTTGCTTCTTCACCAGGAGGAGAGTACTCATGAGGTGCAGAGTAATCTGGATAGTGGCAGCTGCCTTTTGGAGATGTGTATCTAATACCATTGTGATGTACAGACAAAATATAAAAGATCAGATGCTGTCAAAATGCAAGAAGTCCAGAGAGAAGGAGTGATATAAAGGAATCATGACTTTGTAGTCTGTCTATTGATTAAAGCACTTGTTGGTGAAGGTGCAGATATGTATTCTGGTATTCCCTGGTTGGTTTACACATACTATATTCTGCATATTTTAGATACAGGTTAAAAAAGAAGTGTTGCAAGCAACCTGCTGTCTAGTTCTTGGGTAGTATGGATTGTCCATATGTAAGGAACATACACTTGGACTGTAAGCGTTATGATTTGGATGCCCTCAGGCAAGAAGGAACCCAAGTCTTGGCTTTCTTGGAGACTGCTTAACCATTAAGCTCTTGATGTATGAAATGTATAAAGAGGGAACAGCTACCCTGACAGTAGATAGGCAGCTGTGTGGGTAGAGATAATTTCAGAGAAATTCTCTTTTTGCTTTTCCCGGTCCCCTAAAATTCCTATATGAATTACATTTGTTCAAGATTGTTAGTCTATTCCTTTGAAAAAAACTCGATGTGAAGTAGCAACATAAAACTCTTTTTTTAATGTTAACTCTCAAATTCAGATTTAATAATGCAATTCTGCAAGTTATCTGCATTTGAATTTCTGTCTTCAGCCAAGCAAACAGAGCAGCATCACACAATTAACCTCAATACTGTGTACTACAGTACTACTTTCACTTTGCTGAAGTATTTTCTCCTTTTCCTGTTTCCCTCACCCCAAGCTGGAACCCACCATGTACCTCACTCTTAGTCTAGGGTAATAATGTAATTGAAAAATTGAATCACTTTAACTGAGGCTTTATTGCTGTCAGAACCAAGACTTAATTCTCCATTCTCTCCTCCATCCCCTTTCCTTTACATCAAACATCTTATCCCTATGACTTCCACTCCCCCACCACT